CCTAATGTATTCTCCCTCTCCATGTCTTTGTTTTTTTTCTGAAAATGAAACATTTGTGTTTGACATCGGAGGGAGAGAAATCAATATGAATTTATAAACCATACATAGTGTGCGCTTCATTATTTTGTGACAAATGTATACGTCCGCCTATCATGGTATTAAAAAGCAGACCAATAAATTGTGTCTGTATATATTTGGGAGAGTGATTGATCAGAGACGACCCAACATAAAAACAAACAGTTCCCAGTAAAGATGCTAACTATGCACAGATTGACCAAAAAGACTACAAAAAGGTGCGACTATTTGGAGCTGTACATCTTCACTATTGTCACTATTTTCTGACATCGTCTCTAAAGCCTGAGCTTTTCTTTACAGGGTGACGACCCCTCCTCACCTTTAGGTGTTCCCGTGCTGCTGGTTCGTCTTCCTCTTGGAGGTTCTGGTCAAAGCGGGGTCACAATCAGGGAATGAGCTACACCTGGGCCCCGTGTCGTCCTCATACATATACAGCAGGGGTGTGCAACTGGCGGCCCGGGGGCCACTGGCGGCCCGGGGGCCACATGCAGTCCCCATCAACCCTCAAGTGGCCCTCAGGTCAATTTTTAAATATCAATTAATTGGAAGAAAACATGACAAAATCTGCCATGAAATCATGAAAAACAGAAATATGTCCATAATAATATTTGATCACTGGTATATGTTGAGTTAAATTTGAGACATAATTGACTGTAATCATTTTTGTATTCTACAATTTGGCCCTCTGACAGTGAGAATTAAATGAACGTGGCCCCTTGCTGTGACCAAAGTTGCCCATCTCTGATATCCAGTATTCCTGCTCTCCAGACAGACGCTCTCTCTCACCCTGTGTGAACATCTCTTTTTTGTTTCACTCTTTATTTCATTATGTTTTAAATAAATGTTGGTGTTATTGTTTGATTTAACTCGTCTTTGACTCCTTTTTTTTTTGTTGCAGGCTTACAGTCGGGTTGTATGACTTTAGCAGCTACTCCACTTATTTATGATGAAGCAGATTCCTCTCTCTCTCTCTCTCTCTGATTTCTGACTCTTTCCACTGTCCTGTTTCTGTAAATAAAAGGAATAAAAATCCCCAAAATAAACCTTTATAAATAGTACAAAGTTGGGATTTCTGCAGTCAAACATGCCATTTTTAAAATCCTAAAATATCCCATTTTAAATGAATTCTTGTCATATTGTAAAACTCAACACAGTCACAAAGACTAAAGCGTTTATAGTCGTATTGATATACAGTATAATCAGTTTTCAGGTATGACTTTCTGCAGGGCCGACACTTTGCAACACCTGGCGTCAAATCAAACAGAAGCTCTGTTTGTTTTTGTGTCTCTAGTTTGAGCAGTGCTCTGGTATCAGATGAATACAGTCATCAGGGTAAACTGTTCCCTCCTAAACTACGCTGCTCCAGGTGTCACTCAAAATCATTTACACCTCCTCTCTCATCCCACCACAAACACACAGTGATGCCCAGATGTCATGTCACTGCAGCATCATTAAACGCTCAATCTCCCAAAAAAAAAAAAGGTCGAGGAAAATAAGAAAAAAAGATGGATTATTGAATTTTCATCGGCCGCCCTTAGGCCACATCGGGACTGTTCAATTTTAGCCTGAGGAGGACACACCATTAAAGGAGACGGGTTCAGAGAGCGTCTTCCTCTGATTGAAGGAGCAGGACGGCGCCGGTGGAGAGTGGACACATGCCGCAACTTACACACACACAGAGGCAGGCATGTATCCAAGCATGCATTCACACATACGGCGCTGAAATCCACACAGCCCCCCCCCCCCCCCCCCCCACCCGCCCCCGTCGTGCAGAAAGAAGATGCAATTTACATGAGTTGAAGGGAGGTGACAGGTAGCAATCAGCCTGGGGAATAGGGTTAGAGGCCGACGCCTGGTCGCGTATTAACGTCTGCCAACCAAAGCCCGCAGATTGCTTATACCAGGCCGCGACCTCCGACCCAGCCACATATCAACCAATTGCCCTTTAGTATAATTATGTGGAATAATCTTTCAGAGTTTGATTCGCAGCAGAGAGGCGAGGAGGGCCACTTGTAATCTATTTTTTTTTTTTTTAGAGCGGGCTTGTTAATAAAGACTTTTTGGGTGCAGGGCCCGTCTGGCAGCTTTAAGTGAAATACCCTCAGAACCAGAGGTCACATTTATCTATTTGCGTTTGTGTCTGTCAGTCACACGGCCGCGCGGGATCGGCTGTGCGGCGAGGACCGTCGGGAATGTCATTACGGTTTTCGATGATGTTTTAATGATTGTGTCATTGGAAGAGCCGCTCGGATCTGTCAAAGATATCATGGCATTGTTTAGATCTCGTTAAAGTTTAATGTAGTGCCTGTGACAGACGGCGCTGCAGACAACCTGACGGCGCCTCGGGCCTGGAGGTGGCGTTTTTCAATCCTAACATCACGAAAACATACGCGCCAAAAATAAGACACGGAGAGAAAAATCCCCCAAACTGAACAACTGCTTCTTAACGGATTCATTATTTATGACTTCATTATGTTATATTTAATTTAAAGCTGTTTGCATTAACTCTTTAATCAGGATTAATTAAGGTCTAATTAATGCATTAATTCAGATTAATCTCATGTTTGTCCCCTCAGGCTCTCCGTAGATAGTGGTCCTCAGTGTCTCCCTGTAGTCTCAGTCATGTAAAAGAAGAACACTGCTGCATCTTTAAATGTCTCATTTCACTTTAACAAACTCTCAGACAGATCAGCTGACGAGTCCAAAGTAATATCCACCTTATGACATCACACATTGACCTTATGACATCACACATTGACCTTTGTTACCGTTCCTTTGAGCTGTTTGACCTCAGTTTGGGATCCCTAACCACTTCCTGTTTCTGTGCTTACCTTCATGTCCTAACCTTCACTCTACCAGAAGGGCCTTACTTTATTTCAAAATAAAAGCACACAGCAAGTAAAGTACTAAGGACAAACCTTCAAAATAAAAGCCTGACTATTTTTATTTTTAAATGTGAAACAATTTGAATTTCAAACATGCGATAAAAATGCGATGAATCTGGGTTTACTTTTGAAATTTAGCAATTAATCATGATTTAAATCTTTTATCGTTTGACCGCCATAATTTAATTGTCAGACAGATTTGAACCATTAACAGACAAAACAAATAATCTGCAGATGTGACGACATGTCGCCGTCAAGAAGCTTTGCACAGGGTTTACTGTCATATTCTTCTTTAATTTTATAGACTGAACAAGTGAAGTATGAAGTCGATGTTATCGGTAAGGTGAAAATCAACACCTTCTGTGGTTTGATTCTTGATTTGAACAAAAATAAATCTCCCAAAAACACCCAAAGAACGAGCAACAGAGGAGAGGTAACTCCAAACTGGAAAGCAGACGTGTCTCGCAGACGTTATGATTTATACTCGTCAGTTGTTTGTGTGCTGACATATTTTTTATTTTGGCGGATCACAGATTAAATACATCCTCAATTAACATTTTCATCTCTACTTTACGTTGAGTTTCAACATTTTTACAACTCGCCGGTTCATTAATAACGAAAAAGTGAGTCAATATTTTAACACAAAACTAATTTCTTTGCATTAAATTTCCTCCAATACTTTTATTTTACTCTTAAAGTCTCTGCACACCGACTCTTTCAGATCTGTAGTCTGATCAAAAAATCTTTACCCACAGAAAAGTCACCCACTAAGTCCGATACGGCTATTTTTTATTTATTGGGAAAATTTGCAGTGCGAGCCAAAATGGAGTCATCAAGCAGTGAAGATGATTTTATGGTTCTTTCACTCCTTGAAAAACAAAAAGGTAAACACACTTGAGTCCGTCCGACCCTGAAAAACAAAGAAGAGCGAGGAGAGTTTCACCTGTTGATGAAGGAGCTGCAGAATTATCCCGATCGCCTCCAGGTTATGTTTCAGGGTGTCAGACGTCCAGTTTGATACGCTGCGAGCGATACTGGAGCCGCACATTAAAAAAGAAGAGCACTAATATACACACAGAGGGTCTGAAGATGTGTGTGGGAAGTTAAATTGCATGATTTCAGAGCTGAAGACTGGACTGAAGAGAGTACAATTACACCGAGGAGGAATTTAAATACAAAACTAAGAAAGATCAGGAGACAGGAAAGACTTCCAAAAATGTCTTTTCACAATAAAATGATTAATGAAAAACAAATGATGGGGGACTAACGGGTGTGGCATGGACTTACAGGTACTTGGAAAAAAGAACGGTAGCAGACTTGTTGCTGTAATTTAACGTTTCATGTTCACAGCAACAGTTAAAATGTTGAAGACAAAATCAGCATTTCCCGTTCCCTTAAATGTTCTTACACATGCACATGGAGCATCCTCTTCTTCTTCCTCCCCGTCCGTACATTACAGCTCACCTCACAATTACATGTCGGTGTTTTCATTTTCCCCCCCGTCTCATCTTAACCCTGGCCCGTTAAAAAAATCATGAAGTTAACCCTTTCCAGTCAGGTATCCATCTCCCACCACACACAGTCACATTAGTAGCAGGTCTGACCTTAATCATACAGTCCCATCAGAAACCCGCTGACCTTCACCTCCCAGGAGGACCCTCCTCATTCACACACTCGCCGGGACCTCCGGCTGCCCATTTAGTGCTTTAATGGTGGGAGGCGCCCGCTCAGCCACCCATTTCATTGTGTCCCCTTCTGCCTAACACCCCCCCCCCCTCCTCTCTCTGTCTCTACACACACACACACACACAGCCTACATGAGTGCACACACACACATCAGGGGGGTTTACACACACACACACACACACACAAACACAAACAGATATCGCAGCAGGCTTCTCTCCACAGGGGGTTAACATCAACATATGTCACTGTCACACACATAAAGGCGAAGGTTGTAGGCTTGTGTGGCAGCACCTATGTGTGTGTGTGTGTGTGTGTGTGGGAGTATGATTGATAAAAAAAAAAAAGTAAGAAAAGTACTGATGAGTTCTTTAATTTCCAGACTTTTTTTCACCCCCTCCAAAAGTTGTCAGGGATTTATGAGCCGCACTTTTGACAGACGTTCTCGGCTTTATCGGAGGCGTGCGACACAGCTCCCATCCACTCTGCACTTTGAGCAGTCTGTAAAGGGCAAAAAATAAATCAATTCCACCCTGACAAATGTAAATAAGGTCTTATCGGGCAGCAGCGACGCATCGACAGCATCAAGCGAGCAAATGTTCCACTCGCTTGCCTGTCATTTAACTACATCACCGGATCACTCCTCCATATTTTGCCCTGAGGACAACCAATCCTCTATCACGTCTGCGTAAATATGAGCTCTGGCTCGCATGTGTGGGTATGCGTCTAATAACCTTATGAGTGTGTGTGTGTGGCTTTCATGTTTGCTTGTGAGTGGACGGCATCACTTTACATTTATTGAAATGAGCAGCTCTCCCCGAGGGCGGCGGTGAGGAGCCGAGGCCTGCAGCCATGCTAGCATCTATCGACTCCCCAGGATTAGGGCTTGGCTGAGGCGGCCTGCTCCCCAGTGGCCCCCGCCGAGGTGACCCGCACAGAGACAAAGTTCAGGAGGGGAGAACAGGGTGAGCTCTCCCGGGCTCAGATTAGGGGGCCCCTGCGTCTCCCAGTGGAGGACGGTGTTTCTTTGGAGGAGCACGAGAACACACACACACACAGTCCCAGCACGCAGGCTCAGGTTTGTTCAGGCAAAAAGTCCAATTAGAGAAACGTGTCCTATAGGTGACAGGTAGACCCGTTTCTCTGCTTGATGTTACACAAATTCCTCACTACGTAAGATTACTGAGCTGAAAATAAGTCGAAATGTCGTCATTTTAGGATTTAAGTGCTTGAAATGTTTTAATAATTCATCGATTGTGAGAAATATTTAACATATTTGATTTTGTAGTTATGGCTTCATATTTAATTACCCCCATTTTCACCACAGCAAATTCTTTGGGCGCTCCATCCCCTATGATCCAAGTCCTCCAAACTGGCAGCCCGGGTTCAAATCCGACATGTGGCTCCTTTCCCGCAAGTCATTCCCCACTGTCTTTCATCACACTGAAGTAAAAACAAAAAAAGTCATTAAGGACACAACGTCACAACTATGATTGCAAGCAGCCTGCAGGAAGGCTAACTGACAGTAGGGGGCGCCTTTTTTTATTTTTTTACCTACACGTATACATGATTCTTTCAATTTAATTAAAAAATGTTGGCATCTCTGGTTTTCCTTGAGTTTGGCAGGAAGTGTTAGCTCCCTTCATAGCGAAAGCCGTCTGGCCAAAGGAGGAACTTTGATACGGTACTTCACAGATTCCTCCTGTCGGATTCCTGGTTAAAGATCGGCCTTTAAGGGTCGCAGAAAACCAGAGGAGCCCGACCATGTAAACACTTGTGAATGTGCGTTTGCAAATATAGTGTAGTTGCTGAAACTTAGCATGTGTAGGTTTTTCAAGACATGCTAAGCTAAGTGGTTAGAGAGTGGGCGTAATATACGGAGGTTTCTCACATCGGCCCTTCCTTTCTGAGAAGTTCCACTTGTCGGAGCAGCCGCACAAAAATGGCAGAGCGCCGGGATAGAAGACTCTGGGTGTCCAGCCTGCTGCAAACGCTCTCTACTCATTGAAAACTATTGAAAAAAGATGCTGGCGTTCAGAAATAAAGGCCGACAGTAAAAGATCTTCATTAAATAAAGTCATTTTTGCCCTTTTTCTTTTGGAGTAGCGTAAGATCGTGTTGGGTCGGTTGGCCACCTCTCCTGTCTTACACCTGCCCTCCCACACGGGGTGACAGGTGCGTCCAATAACTATAAAAAAAAAAAATCGATCTTCTTTGTAAAGGCCTGTTTTGCTGTTTGTTTTAGGTCACATACAGACATGAGTATTAATATCAGACTGTTTCATTACCAGCTCAGATCTCCTCACAGGAGCTTTAAAGGAAGACATTTCCACATTTCTTTAAATCTGCTCTTCCAAAGTAGCGTTCCCTGATCCCTTTAAGGCCACTAATTGCGTGAAGAAATGTAAAAATCTGTGTTTTAACAAGGCCGTCCATTACACTGAGGTATAGTGAGGATGTAGCGTGCTGATTTTGTTTTAGATGTTAAAGTAGTAATTAAGGTTTCAGAGGTTTTAATTGGTTCTTTTGTTTCAGATAAGTCCCTCTGCCTTTGATGATACAATTAACAGGAAATTATTTTTGATGCTTCCCTGGAATTTCCCACCAGAAAAAAAAAACAGTATGTGCCTTTAAGAAAACACCAAAAACATTTCATTTTACAGGTTTTTTTAAAAGCAGTCAAATTTGCACTCCAGCAAATAAAAATAACCCCCGTTTCTGTTAAGAGGCACAGGGTTACATACGGGAATTGGCTAATCTCAGAGAGGGGATGGAGGGAGCGAGGGGCGGTGGGGGAGAAGGCGAGGTACAAAGAATGAACTCCTCAAGACGTGAAGTGGCTATCTTGCCTCTGAGTGGTATCATCATCATCTTCGTCTTCATCATCATCACCACACAAACCCCTCTCTTCTTCAGGAGTGGAGAGGCAAAATAATTGGATTCTTTCCCACAAATAACACCTTCACCCCTGAGCTTAATTAACTAGACAGACTGCAGGGCCAGGGTCTGTTCTCCAGCACTCTCTCTCGCCCCGGCTCTCGGTGAGAAAGAGGAAAGCCCAGCTGTTATTGCCCACTGGCCTTTATTACCATGGCTGAACCATAATGTAGGTTATTAGGGCAAGTTGTTGTGAGGGATGGTCTTTTTTTTTTTTTTTACAGCCCCGTAATACTGATTCTAGTCTCCTAAAAAATATGTTCAAAATAATCAATAAGAGTTTGTGCCATCTTTCATCCTCGTAATCTTAACTTATCTCACTCCAAAGTGGTCTAAATAAATCAGCTCCGGGGCGCTGGTGTCCTAATGGTTGGTGCCTGACCCCATGTGCGGAGGCTGTGGTCCTCCAGCCAGACGGCCCGGGTTCAGGTCCGACCTGTGGCACCTCCAAGTCCATGCAGCACGGGCCTCACTGACCTTTAAGTTATCCTTGTGTCACAGACTATGGTGCTGTATTTAATAATAATAATAATAATAATAATAGTAAATTAGATTTATATAGCGCTTTTCTAAATACTCAAAGACACTTGATAAAATGGGAATAACAATTTGTTCCCTCTTTTTTAAATATTTATCAATCTTTATTAGGCTGCTTAGTAGTCAGTGAGCTGTGTAGAGATTAAATGATAAAGGTATCTTACTCTCTGATCATTAAGGAAACATGCTATGTTGAAGTGCTGACTTCTCTGACAACAATGCAGCAGCCAGTATGTCCTCCTTCTAACTTTAGATTCTGCTCCTGAATGCTCTGGATTTGTTTGGACCAGAGAAGGTAGGAGGTTTTAAGTCACCCCCACACGGCCGTTTTGGACGCCCCTCAGTTTGTCAGATATGAGAGCAGTTATCAGGTCAACAGGTGTTGCAGCGATGGAAGCGGTCAAGAGAAGTGGTTCAGATAGAAGTCACCACATGGTGACCTGAGTGAGCATCGACTTTAGAGGGGGGGGAGACAGCGCTCTACAATGTTTAGAATTTGGACTGCAGTACCCATTTTAAACACTAGGATGCCAGAGTTACGTATTGCTCCTTTAACACCAAACAAACCTGTTCTCACATGTTTAAAAATGTCTTTAATGATCCTTTGGTTAGTATTTAACAGTTCTGCATTTGGTTTACTTCATGTTGACATGAAATTGTCCTATTATCACAAAACAGTTTGATTAATATCAGACATGTCTCCTTTTATCTATGCACCTCTTATCTGCAGCTATGTGTCTATCCATCTTTCTCTGTATATCCCCATCTCTCTATATAACTGTGATCAGGCGCCTCTTCTACAACAATTAAACTATAACTCACTGCGAGAACAGCCTCATTGAAACATGACAATGCCCTCCCAATCCCTTAAGGTGTCGTTTGTCTTCTTGGGAAAAACATGAACGACAGTCGTCAATACACCAACAAATACAGGCTTTGACGAGCGCTACAACAAACAACACAAAGACTCCACAATCCATCACAGGTCAGTTTACGCTACCACACCATTGGTCAACGCATTAAGAGTAGAAAAAAAAACACACCCAGTTAGACCAAATAAAGGGGATAGTGTGGGGCGGTGTGTGGATTTAAAGGGTTTACTTTATTACCGTGGGTGTTGTTTTATGGCAGAGTGTGGGCTGGATGCACAACACCCACAAGGCCCTCCTGATGCCAGCGTTCAGATTATAACTCTTCCTCAGGTCCTTAGGGCCACTTTGTATGGAGGAGTTGCCATTTTGCTGTCACCGGTCGCCCCCCCCCCACACGCCTCTAAAGCTCCATGTTTGTTGTTCCATTCTCCTCTATATCTCCCCCGAGGAGCTCCCTCATTTTAATATAAATAGAATGCTTCATCATGCAGTGGCACAAACTTCCCCATGTTGCATCGCTCCTGTGGCATTAGCAGCAGCCGAGGTAGAGGGCGGACATGCCGAGGAGGGGATGGAGCACCGGTGGAAAAAAAAGCAAACATGTTTTGTTAGAGTTTCAAACGGCTGGCCTGGTTTGTTTTTGTCCGGGAGGCAAAATGTGAAAAAAAAAATTAAAATAAAATAAAATCGTTTTCAGAATAGCAACAAGACAAAAAAGTAGTCTGACAGCCAACGATTCGTTTTTGTTCCAAGTGACTCGCTACAGAGTACAAATTGGGCTCCTCTTACACATAAGATAGAGCAGCAATCAATCCTTTCTTGTCAGTATGCCAGCAGGCTCGCACAGACATGAGGGATTTAATAGCTGACTGATGGGCAAACTGCAACTCTATTGAGAATTTTCCCCCTTTTTTATGTGTCAGATGAGAAAGCCGGCGAGATCTAAGAGAAAGCACTTCTTAGCCAAACTGGACCGTGCCCACCGCGCTCTAATCAGATGTGCACAGCTGTATCCCAAATGCCAGAGGGATCATTTGACGAGATATTTGCAGCCCCCTCTCGACTCGGGATTTCTGCTCTCTCCTCTGTAGTGGTAAAAAGGCCCGAAAAAGGCCAGCGGGGCTAGGACACAGCCCGGGGCGCTAACTGCCAATAGCATCGCCCCTGAGAAAGCTCTGCCTTGTGCCTTGTGATCGGTGGACACCTAAAGCCGCCACCATTGACTAATTGTGCTTCATCTGGGTGCAGGATCCATCTTGGCTAACAAGAAAGCACTAGAGGTCTTCATTTAGCTATCAAGCCTGCGCTCCCCTGGGAGGGTTCTGAGTGCAGCTGCTGTCCTCGCTCCTCTCCCAATCAACACATCAAACGCCAGCCCCAATTCATTTTCCTCCCTCCCTCTCCTGCAGTCCTCTCCCCTCCCGCTCGCTCTACGAGAGAGGCAAAAAAAAAGGAAAAAAAAGGAGGAAAGTTCCAGGATGGTGGAACCAAAGAGCAAAGAGAGACACAGCGGTGAATACTGAGCGGCAGCTTTAGCCCCGGCCCTGCGAGCACTCCTGGATTTAGCAGGATATTTATTCTTTTATATCCAGACAAAAGAGATTGCACATGCCCTCCTGCGCTCAACCACAGTCACCGCCATAAATCAGCGAGAAGTAGCCCCAAAATAATCGGACTCCATTATGAAGATTCAGACAAAAGATCGGTTATAATCTGACGTCGACAAAGTGGCAAATGTGGAGCCTAACCTTTGATTGTGGACAACAATCCTAATGTTTATTTACATCTTGATTTCTTCAATCTCTCACGGCGTCACTCGATCGTTTTGTCAGAAATGCAACAGCTTCATCTCCTCCTGCACACATTATTCTCTTCTTTCTTCACTACTTTAAATATTAATATGTTTTTTATTTTATTTTAGAGCTCATGTCGGAGCTTAATTCAGCAGTAGCAAACTACCACATTTAACCCTTTCAGTTCTGCCCTCTTCATAATTACACCTCCAAAGGAAACTCGTCAGCATGTGTCCTCTTCATCCTCATCCCTCCTTTTCTTCCTCTCTCTTTATTATGACACTCAGGAAATCTAATA